TACTACATCATGGCAGCAACTACGACCTCCATCATCTAAATCTGTAGGCTGGGCTGGCAGCATACATGGAACTACAGGCTGCTCAAACCAGGTTCTTGCCTCATGCTACTACGTGGGAAGTTGTAACATGATTTCACCCCAAGCGTTTTTCAAACCCTATATATTTTTTTCGGGGTGGAAGGTAAGGAACTGGGACTGGGACGGGGAGAGGGCAGGGCCCCGCATGGTCCATTTTAACAACTCTATATCCAACCCTTCCATGCTTTAAAAAAGGAACAGACGGGAAGCGGATTAAGCCCAGAGTCAGGCTAGCCCCGTCCCCATTCTCGCCCCCCCATAAAAAGAGATTCTCAGGCGGGGCCCAGAGCTGAACCACGAGCTACGGGATCTCAGCCATGGCCCGTCCCGCGGGAGCCAAGCCCGTTTCCATGCCCCCATCGCACACCGGCCTGCTCCCCCAGATTACATCTTCCCTCCCGCCCAGGCCGACTACGCTCCCCCCTGCGGGCACCACGCGGCAGGCCGAACGCCGACGACTCCAAAATGGCGGCCGACTGCCCCGCGGCCGGTACCCTCCGCCCGCAGGCGGCCCGGCTCTGCCCACCGATTCCCGTTCCCCCTCCTTGGCTTACTGCTCGCCCCATTCCCCGGCGCCCCTTTATCGACCTGCCCCCCCCACAGCCCAGCCCCATAGGCCGCGCCTCACCATGCTGGCAGAGGAGCCGCTGGTTCTCGCTCCTCACTCCGCCACGGCCCCAACCGGAAAAGGAAGGACCTATTACTACCGTCTCCCTATATGTAACCCTCCACCGCACCCTTCCCTAACCAATCCCTCCCAAACCTGCCAGGAGACGGCAAGAAAGCGGGTCCTCTAATCGCCCACCCACCCTCCGGTTGAGGTTGTGGAGATAGTCTCATACCACGACCTCCCAGGCGCCCCATCCCTCCCGAGCCTGGGGACTATTTTTTTGGCGGATGGATTCCGAGGCGGCCCTGACAAAAATGATCATATAAAGTTTTTTTTTAATAAAATGATGATGATAACATGACAAAAACAACGCGCAACGAATTGTTAGCGCTCAATACATTAAAAATAGTGTTTTCTGATCCCGGGCCGTGCTGGGTGTAGTCCCGGCTGGAGGGGCCGTGACCTCAGAGGGGCGGGAAGGCGCGTAGTTCGCTTCGCTTGCCCTGACTGAGAGGCCGGCAGGGCGGGATGGGCTCCCCCTGGCACCAGGCGGCCCGGCGGCTGTACGACTGTCTGCTGCAGTGAGTGTCCCCTCGGCCCGGGACTCCCCTAGAAGGGTTCCGGCAGCTGCCCAGCTCCGGGCCGCCCACTGAGGGGCCGCCGGCCGGGCAGCGGGGAAGGGAGACGGGCTCGTGAGGAAAAGGCCACGGGGCTCGGCCCCGAGCGGACATCCACGGGGTTGCCCCCACCGGAGCCATTGCAGCCCGATCCGGGGTGGGGCAGCTTTGAGCGTTGGCTGAAGCGGGGCCGGGACCTCTTGTTGCCACTGCTTGGGTGGAGCTGGTCCTCGCCCTCCCTCGGTCGGAGCAATGGCCTTCGCCGGCGGTTACATATGATACAGGTGGTGGGTGCGGGGCTCTCGGGCTGTGCTTTGGCCGCCCTACCCCAGTCCTTTCCAGAGCATGGCAGGTAGGCAGGCTGGTTCCGCCTGCTGGGGGGGAGGATTTTGCTATCCTAAGTAGACCCCCTACCCAGGGCCGGTGCTACCATTAAGGCGAACTAGGCGGTTGCCTAGGGTGCCAAGATTTGGGGGCGCCAAAAAGCAGTGCCCCCAATTTTTTTTTTACAGCCTTCCTTCCCTCCACTTTGCCCACCTCCCAGGGTTGCAGCGCCAATCAGCTGTTTGGCGTCACAAGCCTGGGAGGAGAATTAGAGGGGGGGGCGGCATGCTCGGGGAGGAGGTGGAGCAGAGGTGAGCTGGGGTGGGGAACTGCCGCACGGCTCCCGGGGCGGGGGGGGCTGCCACGGGGGGCGCCTCAGGGTCGGGGAGCTGCCACAGGACTCGGGGGGGGGGGGGA